TCAGTTAGAGGCGTGATTTATGCTCCTTGCTTAAAGCATGTGCCGGAAGATGAAATTATTCGCGAAATGAGCAATCAAGGAGTGACTGAAGTATATAAATTAACCAAACTGAATGATGACGGAAAAACACGCTCTCCTACAGGAAGGATTATTTTAACTTTTGATCGCTATCGATTACCGCGAACAGTTGATGTGGCGTGGTATAAATGTAAAGTAGAATTACACATTCCAAATCCTATGAGGTGTAAAAATTGCCAACGCCTGGGTCATACGGCAAAAAGATGCATTAGTGCTGCATCTTGTGCTAATTGTGGTCCTCCTCCACATGCAGAAAGCTGTACCCGTAGTTTCTGCATAAATTGCAATGGTCACCACTCAGCTTTAGACAAACAATGCTCATGTTTTGTACAGTTGCGTGAAATACTAAAAATCAAAACAGAAAATTACTGTAGCATGAGCGAAGCGCGACGCACATACCGGGAAAGAAATCCATCTGTAGCCCAAGGAATTGGCAAAAGTAATACCTACGCTGCTGTTGCCTCGCAAAACAGGCCTAATAAGCCTTTAACTCCAACGCCTTCCAATGAAAAACCTGTTCTACCATCAACCAAATATTACATTGCGAAACCAGTTTCATTACCCACCAAAGATAGTATTGCAAAAATCAATACAACAGCAAATATTGAAAAAATGAAAACAACAGCACGTATGCCAAAATCTAATAAACTAGCTCTCAACTCTAATCAACAAATTACAAGCTGTAATGAATCCAATCTTTCATCCCTCAATCAACCTTCAATTTCAAATCATTCACGTGTGCCCACTCGTTGCACTTTAAATTTACGCAAACACCTAAGTACAGATTATTCTGCTGGTAAGAACAAATTATTCACGCAAAATTCTTATAGTGACATTTTCGACGGAGACGCTGATATGTCAACTTAACCTAGTTTTCACTGCATGTCACTACAATTAAATAAAGTTTTTAAAATTCTACAATGGGACATTAAGGGACTTCTTAACAATTTTGATGAACTCCGCACCCTCGTAAGTGATCTCAGTTCAACCTTTATATCGCTTCAAGAGACCCATTGTAGAACCTCTTTTATTCCTATTTCACCCATATCGTATACTGGATACTTCACGAATGCTGATCAAAATTTATATTCCAAACAAGGAGTTGGTGTGTTTATAAAATCAAGTATACCTCACAAACGCATAAATTTAAGCTCAAATATACAAGCGGTAGCGATACAAATAATGTTAAACATAAAATTTACAGTGCTCTCGCTCTATATTCCACCTTCGCAATCGTTTTCTCAGCAAGAACTCTACAATTTATTTTCCGTTCTTTGCCCCCCATTAATTATATGCGACGACTTTAACAGCTGGAATACCATCTGGGTTTCAACAGTGAACAACACTCGTGGTACTGCTTTAGAAAAGGCCTTCATTCAAAACAATCTCTGCATTTTATATGATGAAAAACCGACGCACTTTTCAACTGATCACACTTTTTCACATATTGATTTAACATGTTGCTGTCCCTCCCTTCCTTTGGTTTCCTGGTCTATCTCTGATGATCTACATAATAGTGATCACTTTCCAATCAAAATCGATCTTAAACTTTCAATGTCCTCTGCTACTCCAGCAAAACGGGCGAAATTCCTCCTAGATAAAGCGGATTGGATCAACTACTCCAAGCAGGTGAAGTCATTTTTGAATTCAAAGCCATTTAACGGGAACTTCAACCATGATGCTGCTATTATGACTAAAGCGATTCGCACGGCTGCTCATTTTTCTATTCCTCAATCCAACAGCTCCTTTAAAGGAGCTATGGTTCCTTAAATGGGTTTATGGCACCGCTTTAAGAGATGTCCTGATCATGATAATATTTTATTATACAAAAAGGTCAATGCTCCATTCAAGAAGGAATTACGAAAGTCAAAGGTACTTAGTTTCGAACTTCTTTCGAAAATAATTCACAGAAATACATCAACGAAAGTTGTCTGGGACAAAATCAACAGACGCAATGGGACTTCAAACCTGAACGAAATTTCTGCCATCTGCTCTCCCAATGGAACTTTAACTGACGCACATGACATTTCTAATTACTTTGGACAGATGTGGTGCCATGTTCCTGGAAAATTGCATATCCAACTTAGAACTTGGAAGTTGTCTCTCCAATTTGAAGGGGAGGACACCTGGTCTAGACCGCATTTCCTACCAAATTATCAGTGCGCTGTCTAATTCAAGTAAAAAGAAATTGCTAGACCTGTATAATACGGTATTTTTGACTGGCCATATACCCTACATGTGGAAACTGGAAGCAGTTGTTCCAATTCCAAAGTCTAAAATTGTCTCCATCGCATGGGATTATCGCCCATTCTCTCTTGCCTCTGAAAGGTATTGGAAAAGATTATGGCATCTAAATTATCTTGGTTTCTTGAGTCCAAGAACCTGATAACAAAGCAACAAGTTGGTTTCAAGCGGGATAGAGGGTGCATCGACGCTCTGTTACATGTTGATTATTTCACAAGCAAAGCAATTTCCGAACGAAATCACGTAACAATTCTCTCAATTGATTTCGAAAAAGCATTTGACAGAGTTGGTCTTCATGTTATCTTAAGACTCTTGAAATCATGGAATGTTGGACCCAAATTCTTCAACTACATCAAATCATTCATGTCGCATCGGCGGTTCAAGGTTAGAATCAACAATCATCTTTCTAATTCCTTTCCGCTAAAGAATGGCATTCCGCAAGGATCTCCTCTCTCTGTCACGCTTTTCCAGATCGCTTTCAACGAAATTAGCAAAGTTCTTTGCCGTGTACCAAGAGTGGAACATTGTCTCTACGCGGACGATGTATACATTTTTACAAAAGAAAACGACAACACGAAAGCAATCAACATCCTCGAATCTATTGCATGTGAGATCTCCACATGGGCAAACTCGTCAGGAGCTAAAATTTCTATACAAAAATCAAAAAAATGCACATTTGTCGAAAACAAATGTGCGATGCAGGAAACCTACTGATGCATATTAACGACTTACCAGTACTAAATATGCAGACGCTCCATGTTCTCGGGCTCACGTTTTCCAACAATTATCGTTGGAAAGCACACTGTCTTCGGTTAAAAAACTCCCTTTTAACAAGGGTAAATTTCATACAGTACGTTGCTTGGAGAAGCCATGCGCATATTAACACTATTGCTTATCTTACCAAAATGCTTGTGTTAAGCAAGATTGACTATGCTTTGATAATTTATGGCAATAGCTGCAAATCTAATATCAACATCCTTAATCCGGTCTACCACCAAACAGTCAGAGCAAGTTGTTATGCTTTTCGGACGACGCCCGTAAATAATAATAAAATCGAAACTGGTCTCCCAATTTTAGAAAATAAACTTTATGAGTTAAAAGGCAAAATAGTCCCCAAGCTTGTTAATTCAAACAAATCTATTCTCGGTGATGACGTGAGAAAGATTATTATTGCGAAGAAAATTCCAATGTTTTAATCTGCAATTGAACATTGTTTGTACGTTGCAAAGGAAATGAACATTCCCTTAAGAATTTTCCGCTCTTTTGGTGTTAAACCTCCCTGGATTTTGAAAGACTGCTCTTTTGACATCTCACTGTCTATGCACAAGAAAGAAGATACTCCAAATTACGTCTTCAGGAATCTAATAGCTGAAAAAACCCAAGTATTGGAAAGTACTGGTTGGAATCTTTTATACACAGACGGCTCAAAATCTTCTGGTCTGCCTCCTGCTTGTGCCGTGGTAGATGCTACGGGACAGGTTCTTCTCAATCACATATTTCACGAAAGTAATTCAACTTTCACAACCGAAGCCAGAGCTATCCTTCACGCTGCGAAGCTTGCCATAAAGGCAAACTCAAAACCGTCATTGTTACCGTCAGTTTGTCTGTATTACAAGCTATTCGGAACCCTTCGACTTCGAGATGAAGCATCGTCAACAAATTAAGGAATATAATTACTACACCGGACGGAAAAATTAAAATGTTATGGGTATCAAGTCACATCGCTTTGTTGGGAAATGAGCAGGCTGATCGAGCGGCAAAGGTTGCTGCTTCTGCTCCTCTAATTATGGACGATGTCATGGAAAAGTTGGATCTTCAAAGATACATTGGAGGAAAAGTTAAAGAGAAAATTGCAGAAGAAAATTTACAATACTATCATCAACACTACTCTTGCATTAACCCTCAATTAATTCCACCTTTATATCCAACAAACGTTGAGAAAAGCTCATTATCTAATGTACATTTATTTATATTAGAGCCGATAGCCTGTGCTGCTAGTGCTCAATGCATTTTTTTAGTCTAAGAATTTATTTTATTAGTCTAAAATTAAAATAATAATAATAATAATAATATACATGCGACAGCTGTATGAATTGGAATTTTTTGTATATTTTTATGATATGACCATCGCTGATATTATCGATTCCAGTACTGGTGATCAGTTAACTTCGAATGTATTTTATTATACATTTTCGGCACCAGATGAAGCCCTCGAAATATTACCCCGTTCGTATCACGAAACGATGTGGTATATACACGGACGTCGTAAATTTAAATACGCTTTGGGTTTGGAATAAAACCAAACGGAAGAAAGCATCAGACGAAATTTATCGAAATTATTAATTGGAACGAACAGGAATTTTGTATTATTGTAATGTACGTTTTTGTTGTTGTTTTTGCTGAATTTATTCACGTTTTTTGTTTTTTTTAAATCTTTTCTAACATTGTTGTGATTTTTTTTGTACCTTTTTCTCTTTTTAAGATTAAAGTAAATGATTTTTTTTTCTCTTAATTTTTACATAATTATAATATATAATTATGGTGTTAATGACAGGAATGAATAGGGTCATAATGCACTGCGGGCATATGCGAACCTAAATATACATTTAATTTAAAATCCAAGATCACATGCGGTTAGCAAATAATGCACTGAGTTTTACCAAGAAGTATTCATCAGAGACTAAAGAATGAAACGTTTAGGTTTAGAAACGGATTATTCACAGGTGCCAAAAATTCGGCGAACATTTACTTAAATATCAGCCAAATATTACCGATTTGCCACCGCGTTCTATGCAAGATTCCTTTACTTCAGTTATAATACCGTTAAGTTCTGATAAAAGCCTACAAGACCAATATGTCGCATTTTTGGGCCATGTTCGATTAGGACGTTTAATGGAAGACATGGATATGTTTGCTGTTTGGGTATGTCATCAACATGTGCATGTCCCTTCTCTACCAGCGGATGTTCATTTGCCCTATATATTTGTTACTATACTAGTCGATAAGGTAACATTTTCCGGTGTACAAACTAGGGCCACTGAAGATATACGTATGTCAGGGCATGTTTCATGGGTGGGTAGAAGTTCAATGGAAATTTTTGTATGGCTAGAGCAAAAAGAGAATGGTTCATGGCCTAAAATTACACGAGCTTTATTTTTAATGGCTGCACGTAATGCCACCAATACGGGAGCGGCGCCAGTTAATCCTATCAAACCCGCCACTGATGAAGAGAAGAATATTTTAGATGGTGGCGAAAAACGTAAGAAATTGCGTCAAAAATTATAAGCGTCTTCCATATTCAAAGTGGAACCCAATGATTTTGAACAATCATTGATGTATGATCTGTATAAGCGTACCACACCACAAACGACAATCGCGTTAAATAAACGTGTTTTACCATCTAATTGCCGTTGGATGTCTGATTCTTATGTGGTGAATACAATGGCTTCGTATCCGGAAAATCGTAATGCCCATAATAAAGTATTTCGCGGCTTTTTAATGCGCACCGCATTGGAAATCAGTTGGGTGGGGGCGAATCTCTTTTGCAAAAATCGCCCTAAATTGGAGCATATTTGTGATATTAGTTTTGAGAAACCTGTGAGTGTTAATTCATTCATTAAAATGACTGCCTATGTGGTCTACACTGAAGTTAACTACATGCAAATGATGATGATCCTTGCAATTGTACGAAAATTTAGTTCTTTTCCCTTTTTTTAGAATTAGGTGATGGCTGCGATGGGTATATAAAAGATTCGGTCATGAATTCCAACGTAGCTATTTAATATCTAAGAATATTAGTCCTGCGAAAAGGCCATAATCAAGTGGAATCAAATGGGAACGCCGACAATCTCGCGAATAGCTACTGTATTATCCTCTTTCTTCTTATATCTTATTGCTATGGACACATTATAAAACATACACGGTGATTCTATGTTGCATTATTCGGTTGCCGAGACCATTATAATGACCGTCAAGTCACGCTATGTTACGTAAAATTGCCGTGAATTAGTGCTAATTATACGGTAAAACGCTTGTGGGAAGGATGTAGTAAGTTTATGCAGGTGCAGACCTACCCTTTATTATACCGCTTCTGCTTTGTCCGTCTGCCTGTCTGTCTGCAGCTTGTTTATGTATTCTTCTGTTCAAACTTCATAAGTTGCACATTGTCTCTACGGATGTGTTTTAGCCCAACACCGCACACAATCCAAAGTGACTTTTTTTGGGCATATAAACTGAATGAAAACCCTTCGACATACCATGGTCCGCTTCGTCGAACTAAAATGCTCTCCCTCGTTTTAATAATGAAACATTTTCCAAACTGTTAGTTCACATATAATTATAAATTTTCGCTTTCTCGAATATAATCACTTTATATGCATTTATGTATATATAAATGCAAGAATTTTAAAAATATTAAAAATGTCAAAAATTTAATTGTACAAAAAATACTTCGTCCTTTTTCTCATTCCTATAACAGTAGAATATGAAAAGGACTTGTTGAAGCCATTAACAACTATTTAGAGTCGGATTGTCTATTGCGGAAAGGCTTACTGGCAGAGATATTAAGTTAGAAAGCTCGGCGGCGTGGATATGTTTGACGGCAGGGTACTATTGAAAATGAAAGTAATCCAATGTGCCAATAATGGGCAAAAAAACTGTAAAGTATAATCTGGAGCAATTCCTACAAAGCATTTTAATTTAAAATTTCTTACATCAAAACGTTCAATGTCATACTTAAGCTATTAATTTGACGCGCTCACAATCAATGAATAATAATACATAGTTCGACGTAAATATCTTAAGTGAAATGCAACTTTCTTATAAAATTTGTGCTCAAGTTTATATGTGACGTAGGTATATATAAAAAAATTATGTGAAAACACATTTCACGGTACGCTATCAATTTGAGGCACTTGATAGAACGACATACAAAACTTTTGAATAAATACTTTACTTTAGAAACTATAAATCACTTATGCTATAAAAACCTTTGCAATTTTGACATTTTATTTTTTTGGCCTCGTCGGTTTCATCCATCGGCACAAGAGTGAAATATGTATTCGTCACAATTTCATCACGTTTGTGTCGAAGATTTTCAAAATTCAAGTTCTCCTAATATTTGTTATGGCAATATTTAAATACATGGAAGAATACCGCATAAGTTTAGCATAATTTTCAATAAAAGACTGAGCCAACTTTAGTAGAAAACGGACAGTTTTCACAGATAAATGTGAACAAAGATATTCTATTAATCCATTCAATTTAAGTGAATCGACAATGTGCTTGTTAAAACGTTCTTCAAATTCGCTCAGGGACATCGTTGCACCATTTTCTCGAATAGTGAAAGAATTTATGTTTTCGGAGCCATCATTGTGATCTTCGATTTTCGATGTATTGTCCGGTGTAGATTGTATTACAGACTGTAATGAATTGGAGCCATTTTGACGCTCAGTTCCACCTACGTTCAAGTCGTTATTTAACAATATGTCATTTCTTCGCAACGACGGCCTTCTTGTATTTGTACTAATGTTTGCTTTTGACTGCTTTTTGGACTTAAGTAGTTCTTTCAGATTTTCTTTGTCAGGTATATAATATTTATTTATTTATTTATTCTACTTATACTAGAAACTCAACTAAACAAATAACAGTCGAGTTCAATTGGCTCTTAATGCAAAACTTATATTAATTAATAATAAAATTTAGTATAAGTATAATAAAACAAATAAGAAGAAAAAAAAAGAAAAAGAAAAAAGAAAAAAAAAGCATGTACACTATCAGCATAGGGCCACACTTACAACCGGTACAGGACCAAATTGCAAATGAACCCTTAAGCCATCGCAAACATGCATAAGCTTGGCAACCGATAATAAATTGACAATAATTCATTTTCGAAACGTAACAACTTTTTAAGGATAAAAGCTAGTTTAAAAACGACATAGGTAAATCGCGCGTATTAAGGAATGTTGCTTCAATGGACTTTAAAGAGTCCGATAACGAGAATAAGTGGTGGACGTCATTTGGGTTCTTGCAAACGACTCTGAGCGGATTGAACAGCTCATAATTAAATTTACACTGATTAAGCTTAACCAAGATAAAGTGCCTAGAGAAGCGGTTAGGGACATTAAAGCTTATTTCACCAAGTAATGAAGGCGAGTCAATGGCACCATTTATTACTTTAATTAAAAAGGAAACGCCAAGAACAAACCTACGTTTCTCAAGAGACGGTAGCAGAAGCAACCTATTTTCATATGGAGGAAGAGAGGCAATCGGATCCCAACCCAAATTTCTAAGGGCAAACAGCAAGAATTGCTTTTGAACAGCTTCAATTAAATCTACGTAGCACCTATATGAAGGAGACCACACAACTGAGGCATACTCGAGTATGGGTCTAACCAAACACATGTACAGCCTTTTTGTAATGTAGGGATCATTAAGCTCTTTGGACCACCTTTTTATAAAACCAAGCGCGGACCTATCTTTTCTAATCGACAGCTCAATATGCAAGTTAAAACGTAACCTATGGTCAAATAGAACGCCTAAATCTGTGATCGAATCGACGTCCTCCAACTTATGCGAATCTATGAAATACTGAGTAATGAATGACTTTCTTCTAGAGAATGAAACTTCTTTCATTTACTCAGATTTAGTTTCAGAAGATTCAAAGAGCACCATGCAACAAAATTATCCAAATCACCTTGAAGCTGATGTGATTGCGATTCAACAAAGAAGGAAGAAAACAGTTTCACATCATCAGCATACATTAAGATCTGGCTGGAATTAACCACCGATGGGAGATCGTTAATGTATAAACTAAATAAAATGGGACCTAGGTGACTTCCTTGAAGTACGCCAGAGATAACGGGGAATTCATCCGAGGTGATGAAGTTAAACAAAACCCTGAAGGATCTATTGTGCAGATAAGAGCTTATCCATTTCACTAAGTAGGGTGGGAAACCAGAGGCTTGGAGTTTAAAGATAAGTAGTTTGTGGTTAACCATATCAAATGCTTTGCTTAAATCAGTGTAAATAACATCTGTGCGAGAGCCACTAGAAAAAGCCTTGAAAACATGGCAGGTAGACGCTAACAAGTTGGTGACTGTAGATCGCCCTTTCCGAAAGCCGTGCTGGTGCGGAGAATTATACGAATTAATGGCAAAGGCCAAATGCTGAGTCACAATACGATCGAACAATTTGGGCAAGACACTCAACTTGGCTATGTCTCTGTAGTTCTCAACAAATTATCTACTTCCACTCTTGTGGATAGGAATAAGGAAACTACTCTTCCAACGTGAAGGGAAAACACCTAAATTCAAGGACAGGTTAAAAATACTTGAGATCACACCACATAACTCGACAGCGCAAGATTTAAGTACACGTGATGGAATTCCATCAGGTCCAGGCGAACAACTGTATTTTAGAGAACTCAACCCTTTAAAGACGTCATCTTCCGAAATAACCAAGTTAGGTATTGAAACCGAGTTATTTATAGGATATGGGTAGTTTGCTGATAAATCGAAATTAGCAATCGAAAAGTTTCGTCGGAAATACTCAGCAAACAGATTTGATATTTCAAAATCATCCGAGGAATCAGAGCCATTAAAAGAAACATGAGAGGGATATGTGGATATTTTCCTTTTAGAGTTAACAAATTTAAAGAAGAATTTAAGATTAGCAAACAGACAGGATTTAATGGACTGAAGGTATCTGCAGTAATAATGATGGTTGAGGGAGTTAAATCTATGCTTCGCCACCGAGTAAGCGACATAGTCGAGCGCAGAGCCATTTTTCGAATATTTTTTGAATAGCGAGTTTTTTCTATTCTTGTGATATTTAATTGTCTTATTAAACCAAGGGGGATACCTGCTTCGAGGTTGATCGGAACAGATGCAGCAATAGCTAGATTTAATGTATTGTAGAAGGATGACAATAAGCTTTCAATACTACCGGTTGAGAAATCAAGCGTCAAATGTGAAAGACGATGTTTTAGTAATACAATATTGATTTTATGAAAATCATAATAGTTATTTAAAAAAGTTTGAGTTGGCACATTAAGGCATTTCAACAAATCATCATTAATACGATGAAAGGAAATGCATATTGATGGATGATAAGGATCCTCAGGTAAAGTAAAAGGCGGACAACGATTTACGTAAATCTCGGGAAAATTGGCAAAGCCGAGATCAAGCAGTCTACCATTACAATTAGGGGTACGATTATATTGACCCAAATTATGATCAAACAATTCACTAAAGAAAACAACAGCCCTATCAGACGTTGAAGTAGGAACCAAACAGCGAGAATTATCAGTGTTACACCAAGTGACCTGAGGCAAATTGATGTCACCCAATGCAACGACCAAATCGATGCGTCTAGACCGATTGGCCACTTCACAAATGAGGGAAGCGTGTTTCCTGTAAATGGAGATATCGGAATTTGGGGGAATATAGGAGCAGGTTATAAATAGATGTTTATCAGGCATATTGACACGAATAGCGATAAATTCAACGTCAGGAGAAGTGGGAAATTCAATTATATTGGACGGGACTGACGCAGATATGGCAATTAATACACCACCACCAATGCGATTCACTCGATCATTTCTAAAGACTTGGAAAGAATTATGAAAAAGTTCCGACGAATGAAGATCGGGTTTTAGCCAAGTTTCAGTAAAGGCCAAACAGAAAAATTCCGTGCTCACTGAATTTAGAAAAGTGGAA